GGGTGTGATTTGGGCGTTCGGTAAAGCCATTTGTTTGAGGATGGTACGAAGTGGTCAGTTTGTGTTGCGTTGAGGAAGAGCGCAAAAGGTCGTCGAGTACGCGTGACAAAAATGCACCTCCACGATCGGTGAGCAATTGCCGAGGAGTGCCATGGTGTAGAATTACATCGTGGAGCAAAAAGTCGGCGACGTTTTGCAGTGCTGTTGGGGAGCGCTCTCGTGATGGCGAACCTGGTCGCATGGTCTATAGCAACAGCGACCCACTTGTTCCAGAGTTTGATTCAGGTAGCAGTCCGAGGAGGTCTACACCAACACGGAAGAAAGGTTCGGTAGGGATGGAGATAGGGTGAAGGAGTCCAGCAGGGGGTGCGGCAGGTCGTTTTCGCCGTTGGCATTTATTGCAGGAGCCCACGTAGCATCCAACCGACTGCGCGAGACCACGCCAAAAAAAGCGGCGCCGGACGTGGTCGTACGTGTGAGATACACCAAAGTAGCCGGAAGTTGGTTCGTCTTGAAGCTAATGCAGGACCACTGAACGGAGATGGTTAAGCACGACTAGAAGTAGCTCAGGGCCATCTGGCTACGAACATGTGGAGTGACATGTCATTAGGGTCAGATCCCAGACAAGCAATACGTGACCGCAACGAAGGATCGCGACGCTGTTCGTCACCAATCTGACGAAACCTAGACATGAACATGACGCTGGGGCCAGGCTCGCCAACCGATTCATCTGGTTCGTCAACAGGGTAGCGGGACAAGCAATCGGCGTCCAGATGGAGGCATCCACACTTGTAGATAACTGAGTAGGAGTACTCCTGAAGACGCAACGCCCAACGACCAAGTCGTCCAGAAGGGTCCTTCAGTGAAGAAAGCACACAGAGGGCGTGATGATCTGTGACGATAAGGAACGGGTGGCCATACAAGTAAGGGCGAAATTTCGAAACTGCCCTGACAAGGGCAAGGCATTCTCGTTCTGTTATAGAGTAGTTACGCTCCGACTTTGAAAGAAGACGACTTGCGTATGCAATTACACGATCAGTGCCCCGCTGTGTTTGGGCCAAAACTGCGCCGATGGCGTGACCGCTAGCGTCTGTCCGCGCTTCTGTAGCAGCATTTTGGTCGAATTGTGCAAGTATCGGTGGTGTCGTTAGAGCGGTGATTAGTCAAGAGAAAGTGTTCGCTTGAAGAGGACCCCAACTAAACGGGACGTCGTGTTTGAGAAGGTCTGTGAGTGGGCGTTTGAGTGCCGCAAAGTCTTTTACGAACCAGCGAAAATAAGAGCATAGGCCCACGAAACTGCGAACATCTAGATAGAGTGCGGAACGGGAAAGTTTGTTACTGCGCGTAATTTAGCCGGGTCTGGTTGTACACCGGAAGCGTCAACAAGGTGGCCCAACACAGTAAGTTGACGAAGGCCGAAGCGGCACTTCGAGGAATTCAGCTGGAGGCCGGCATGTAGGATTGTTGATAGAATGGTTGAAAGGCGTTCAAGGTGTGTGGCGAAGGTGGGTGAGAAGGTAATCACGTCATCTAAGTAACACAAGCACGTCGCATATTTCAATCCTTGAAGCAGCGTGTCCATCATTCTCTCGAAGGTTGCTGGGGCGTCGCACAGACCAAACGGAATGACCTTCAATTGGTAAAGGCTGTTGGGGGCGACGAATGCAGTTTTGTCACGATCCATTTCGTCTACAGCAATTTGCCAGTAGCCAGATCAGAAGTCGAGAAATGAAAAAAAAAGGTGGCGCCATGAAGACAGTCAAGTGCGCCGCCAATACGTGGAAGAGGATACACGTCTTTTTTGGTTATTTTGTTGAGGTGCCGACAATCAATACAGAAACAACGGGAGCCGTCTTTCTTCTTTACCAAGATCACTAGGGAGGCCCAAGGGCTTGACGATGGTTCGATGATGTGTTTCAATAGCATGTTGTCCACTTCTTTCTGAATAACTGCTCGTTCTGATGCGAACACGCAATAAGGCCGACGGTGGATGGGCGCAGAGTCACCAGTGTGAATTCGGTGCTTCACAATATTAGTCTGCCACAAGAGGCGATCACAGATATCAAAAATGTCACCTAAGGAGGCCAAAACGCGAAAGAGAGCGTCGGCCTGATCAGGCGAAAGGTCTGGTTCAATCATATTTCGAAAGATGGTCTCGGCAGAACTGGGTAACCGTGAGACTTTGGCTTGGTCCAGAACAGTTACAGCGGCAACGCTTATGTCATCATCTCTTACGACAGCGAGTTGAGCAATCGACATCTGGTAGGGCAACACTTGAGGAATGAGGCCGGAATTTAGGAGCGGAAGAAACACACAGTTGCCCACTATGGTGGCGATCGTATGCAGCACTGTAACACTGCGCGTCAGTCGTGCGTCTGGTGTAGTGATGTAGTCGTGGTGTAACGATGTAGTCCCCGTCGGGAACTGGAGGGGTCGATGACAGACAGACGTATGTCACAGCTTGAGGCGGCAAGCGAACAAAAGTGGTTGGACCTAAGTGGCTGACAGGCTTTTCACAGGATTCATAGAGCAGAGGAAGGTCGAGGCTGAGCGTGCCAGAAGAACAGTCAATTAAAGCCGAGTGTGCCAAAAGGAAATCAAGGCATAGTATGAGGTCATGAGGGCAACGATCTAGAACAGCGAAAAGGACTACGGCGTGACGACCAGCAATGTTGAATAGAGCAGTGCACATTCGGACGACTTCTACAGCGCGGCCATCGTCAACACGTATGGCTTGAGTCGTAGAGGGCGGCATGATCTTCTGCAAACGGCGGCGTAGATGTGCGCTCATAATAGATAGGTGGGCGCCTGTGTCAACAAGGGCAGTAACAGGAACATTGTCGACTTTTACTTCAATTAGACTGTGGTGTGTGGGCAGCGTCGGTAGAGGGTTTCCGGGCGTCGTTGGTACTGCAGCTTCACCTCCATAAGCTGCAATATCTAGTTTTCCTGCTGCGATCGTCCAGAGAAGCTCGGCGAGGAAAAGCGCCGAGGCGGCGGAAAGCGGCATTGGTGGCGTAGCGGCGACGGGGAGCGGGAGTAGCGGTGACCGGAAGAAGGGGTGTCAGTGGGCAGAGGCTCGTGAGGAGGCGGCGAGTAAAAGTTGGAAGGTGTAGCGGCTGGCCGTCCAGAAGTGGTAGGGCGCATATAAGTAGGGTACCTCTGACGTGGTGGGTTGGATCAACGGTGACGGCCATAATGAGAAATATGTCCAGGTTGATGACAGGAAAAGCAGATTCGCTGGTCGTCAGGGGTTCGCCATTGCGTAGGAGGAGGAATAATTGAGGAAGGACAGGGAGGTTAGTCGCCATTGCGTAGGGTTCCGGAAGGGCAATGATAGAGGAGATCGGCAAGCGTTACCTGAGGAGTATGGGCGTGCTTCAGGGTGAGTCACGGGACACGTTGATGGAAGACCGAGATTAGCAAACTCCTGCCTTACCACAGCTTGAATTAAGGCTACCGATGGGTGTGATGGGTCAAAGGCTTGAGTTGTACAAACAGGCTGTTGAATGGGAGCTGGACAGGCAGCTTCAAGCTCCCGACGAACAAATCGAGTGACGTGGTCATAGGTAGGTGGTTGGCGAGCGTCTTCACACGATGACGTTGCGGCCGTGTTTGGCAGTCGTGTGAATCTCTCCGTATTACGGCGGCTCTTGGCGTGTTCCAACCGCCGGCACTCTTTCATAATTTCATCGATGGTGGTGACGTTAGTGTACACAAGCAGGTTGAAGGCATCGTCGGCGAAGCCTTTAGGCACATTCAATGCCTTCTCAGGCTCGGGCATGTGTTCATCAACCTGGCGGCAAAGGGCGATGGCGTCGTGAATATACGCGACGTAGGATTCGGTAGACGTCTGTGCCCGAGTAGCCAACTGATTTCGCGCAGTTATCTGTCGTGCATCGGTGTTCCCGAAAAGGTCACGGATCTTCTCCTTGAATGTGTCCCAGCTGGTAATGTCGGCTTCGTGCGTCTTGAACCACACCCACGGAGGGCCATCAAGGTAAAAAGCACGTTGGCAAGCATGAGTGTTGGGTCCCACCTATAGCTGGCACTGATCCGTTCATACACGTTAAGCCACTTGTCAACGTCAAGGCCATCTTGTCCAGAAAATACGCCAGGATCATGAGCAGGAGGTAGAACAACGTAGGTAGGATTCACAGAGGAGGCGGGTGATGAAGACAATCTACCTTGAACCTGTGACATGGTAGAACCCGTGTTGATGCGGCCGCTGTGGAGCATCGTGATGGGTACAGGGAAGGACCAGCACCTCCCCCACAAATATGTTACGTAAAATGAGATAGGACTAGACTATTTGGCAGTGTATTTACACCGATAAAATCGGAGCGCAGCACACAGAGTGAGCAAACCAGTCCTCTTCGTCGTCTTCTGACCACAGAATGGTTCACCCTTCCTGCGATAGCTACGTAGCAATATGTTTCTATAACACCGCGTTCCAAGGACAGCGACGCTACAGTGAGCTCTATTAATTTGACATACTTACTCTGAGGAGTTAAAACAGACAGTTTAAGCACCCTTGAAGCCTCCAAGCAGTTCGTAAGACAAGTTCATTGATTGCTGGGCTACTGATTAGTTCATAATGTAGCAACTGGATCTTGTCGTTGAAATATTTGACCACTTAAGGATGTAAATTCGTACCATAAGCTGAAAATAAATACTATAATTTCGACAGCTAAGCAATTAAACTCAAGTTGCATTGAAAGCGTACTATCAAAGCTAACAGTATGAGGAAATGCTAGCCTTAGGGGCTACATGCTATAGAACAACCAAATCTGTTTTCCCTAACGCACTTTGTGTGCGTAAGTTTGATATTGGAAAGTAAGGAAATGCTTCGATAATGTAGCCGGTGTAGAAACTCATTTCAATTTTTTTTCTAATTAGCGGACGTTGACTGCACTAAGGATACTATAGATATTTGGTGTGGTATAACTTTTCGATACTTTGGTTGACCAGTATTGCTGCATGTTTCTTTCCCTTAACAGACGCTGCTGAAGGCCATTCCGAAAACGCAAGATATGAAGAAAAGGGATATGTTGCGACTTGTCTCCAGACTTTTGCGAGAGGCTGAACTTTTCCCGACCATTATGGAAGCTCTAACATCGACAGTGTTGGATGGATGGAGTGAAGAAGAAATCATAGGTAATGACTTCATTGGACCACATTATTGTGGCAAGAACACACTTAAACGCAGGGAATGAAAATTGCTTGGTTCAGTCGACCACTCTAATTAATTGTATCAGAGTGGAGCTGAGTCTGTGGTATCAAGTAAGAAAATTTTCCAAATTCCTAAAAGAAGTATAATTATTTGGGATTGAGGCATTCTTTTCAAGTGTATCAAAAATGAGTACTGCGTTAGCCTGTCAGGTGAAGGCTTTATGAAACAAAAAAATGACGACCGCTATTTTTCCGAATCCCTGCAAAGAATAGCTAGTTTGTGAGCTTTCCGAAATACATGTGACTAAAACTAGCGTATTGGTCACCATGAGTTGTTTTTGCCCGCGTCTTGCCTTTTGTTTGGGCATGCTTCGTTGAGTAAGTATGAAACTTGGTATTGCGCTTCTGTACGGTAGTGGAGCGGGCCAAGGTAAACTTTTGCCGTCTTTAATACGATCACTAACATTATAGATTGTCGTACACCTGAGAGCTACCGCGTAATTATGGTTGCTAGCACAGAAAGAAACGTCTGAAAGGGCAAAGAGAAACATACATCGCACCGTACGGAGTTTGTCATGATTCGCCTGATGGTCAGACGGAAGTATGGCAAACGGGAAAGAACATGCTGTCAATCATTTTGGCGGAGAGCTGCCACGGAATGGAGGGAGGCACTGCTTCGTCAGATGGAATGGACAGACAAGTGTCATCGTGACTCAGATGGAATTGAAACATAAGCAAGGTTGTGGGGGGGGGGGGGGGTAGAACGAAATAGACTCTTTTCAATATGGCTCCCACTGAACACGCGTCCGTGATTTCCAAAAATCACTATCAGTGCTCCAATCGAACGTTCGTTACATCACCTAGCACCCAATCAAGGACATCAACAAAAATTGATTCTTGAGGTCATCGTGCTCTTCAATTTCAAGATATGGTCTAACACGAAAGTAAAACGTGCTTTTAGGGAAGTATGGTTTAAGGTACTTGTGTACACTTTAAGGTCATCGCGCTCTTCGATATGATCATGCCTAACACTACAGTAAAACGTGTCTTTACTGAAGTACAGTTTAAAATCTTGTGCACATTGATGTAAGACGCACCACGTTCCTTGACTGCTATAGCACCCTTTAAAGTGGACGCATCCTCGTTGGCGCTTGGTGATGGATATTCATCTCAACGACTTACGTCCAATGATGAATGAATAAACATTTCGTGGTTGTAATAGTTGCATGTGTTAACTGTAGTAGTTAACGGTGACAGTGGAGTCAGAGGCTGCGTAATGACAGCCACAAGAGCGTGTACGCCATACTTGCGCTAAGCTCGCCCACTCGCAGCATGTTGTAGAGTTACTGAACACCACTTCCCGACAAGAGGGAAACGCAACACTCGTCACGTTTTCTGTGTTGGCCGGCCGAACATTTCGACGCGGTAGGCGTAAGTGGGAAGCGTAGTGTTACAGCCATGGCCGAAGCATGTGCGCGTCGTATGAATAAATGCTATGCGTGAGGCTGACGCTGGGGCTAACCTGTCTCCACGATGGTGCATTAAGGCGTCGACAAGTTTTAACTTCTTTTACTAGAAAGGCAGCTAACGGCAGGAACGTGCAAAAGAACTCGTCTAAGGAGCTCATCGCAAATGTCACTGGTTAATGTAAATTACTTCGCTCTTACCAGGATCCACTGTGAAAATGACAGTGTTAGATATAAAAGGTGCGTCTAAAACGCCTTCTGAGTGTTTCCCCGTGGCAAAGTGGACAGCGTGCCCTGCATTTGCTGGCGTGCACCGAGGAGTCGTGAGCTTCTACCACTGATTGACAGATCTTTTTTTTTTCACCGTTTGATGATGTGCACTCTTTAGATGTGATTCTTTGACCGGAATGCGTGACTGAAGTATTGGCGGACCCCAGTGTAAAACATTTCCGTGCTAAAAGTAGAAGCAACAAAATAGAAACCCGCCAATAAATTTCACGGCCCACTGCGAATTCTCAGAGCAGCTTTTTAGGTGTTTTCAATTTTGCATTGTGTTCAGCAAATGCACACCGATAATGTAGGATGCTCAATTTTTGCGTTAACATAATCTGGTACCTGGCGTTGCTAAATTCTGCCACTGCTGCCCGCCGAATACGCTTGCGCCGAATTTTAAAGTGTGCATTACATTCTACGAAAAGTGTCTGAAAAAACGTATGTATTTTTCTCCCAAGACTACGAAAACGAAGCGATTCTGGTGTAAAACACTGCAGTCAACTACTTTTTAAATTTTTCTGTGGCTTTGTGAAAGACAACGTTCCAGTGACTGAGGCGATGGACGTGGAGTTTGGGCTTCCGCCGCAACCATCGACGTTGTCTGCAGCTGCTACGAGAAAACGTACGGGCCACCCGAGTAATGCTAAGAGCGAGGACTCGCTGATTCACTCTACGGCCAGCAACGAAAGCTCCAACGAAGGCAACTTGGTGCCTGTGACAAGGCGACAGCCAAAAAGAAGACTAGAGATGCTGTCTCTATCAACAAGTAAGAATGCCACGAAGACGTGAGGGCCTCCAATTTACACAATTCTGCTTGTGCCGGTCGTTGCGGCTCATAGTCTTACCAGCTCAATCGTCAAGCCATGTCTTGGCCTCTTGAGGGACTCGCCCAGAGACACATCGTGGACGTGTGGATCAATGGCCGTAAGAATATTCTCGGCATTGACTTCACTCAACGAAGCATATTGAAAGTGTTGAGCAACGTCGAGATGTTGGAGAACATCGACGTTCTTCATACATACCTGACGGCCGCGACTTTACTGCAGGCGTCACTTAAGATGTCGACATTTCCATCAGCGAGAGTGAATTTGCTGCTCTCATCAAACCGGTGTCTGCGGAACTTACCATACTGCAAGTCCGTTGCCTTGGCAAATCACGCTGTGTGAAACTCGTTTTTAAGGAAGACAGCCTTCCATCGCAAGTCAAGGTCAATCATTTTCGACACACAGTGCGACCCTTCATACCGAAGCCCCTTCTACGCCGGGAATATTATAGGTTGGAACACGTCAGTGCTCTTTGTACAAACCAGGCTGTGTGCTCGTTAGGCTAGGAATCACATAGCGCAGGCGCTTGTTTGGCAGAACTTCGATAATGTCGAAACTATCATGGCCCTCCCGATGCATTGTTGAAAGATTGCCCAGGCATGAAAAAGCAAATTCAATTGTTGAGGCAAATGGTCCGGGACGGCTCAACTCACATGGAGGCTGCTGCCGTAGTACGACGCCGGTGGCCTCGTCTCCGTGGCCACTGAGGAGGCCGAGTACCGAAGCGAGGACTGCCCCTAACCAAATTATCGCCGGCATACCAGCTCAAGCATCCAGACACGCCGACGACAAATCATCCAAGCAAGACAAGAGCATCCCCGGCTCGCTTCACGCATGGCCAGCGCTTCCGACGATAGACCCACCGTCTGAGCCGCAGCATCACTCTTCTACAATTCCTTCGGAACGAGAATGCGGTGATAGTCTGAGATAAGGAAATAATAGCCATGTTAAAGGCCCTCATGAATGCCATTCGTATGCTCCTCACTAGCATCGACAGTCCGGCTGCTAAGAGCGCCCATCAGTTAACGGATGCGCTGAAGCCGGTGCTATCGAGCTTGTAGAAATATGGCTCCTCTTCTGCAAGCCTTTCGCAAGGAAGTCAAAGGAGCTTCGATTTTTAAGTGGAATGCCCGATGCCTCAAGCCTCGTATTTATGATATCTGAACATTTCTGTTCAAAAACCAGTTCCCAATTATTGTTATCTGTGAGACATGGCTACACAATGGAATACGACTATCCAGGTGCGGAGCCTTCAAGCCGCTACCTGCTACGACCAGAGTAAAGTCGTTGTATACATCAGGTGCGACCTTACCTATATAGAGCACTCTGTAGCACCTCACGATGACCGCCAGTATGTCTGCTTGAGAGTAAAACGTAGAGATCTTGATTTCACGCTAGCAGGTGCACATATATCACCTTCAAGTCGTTTCGAAACTGAAAGACTACGTGCACTGTTAACAACCACACCTGGGCCATGGATCATCACCGGAGATTTCAACGCTCACCACCCAATATGGGGAAGTCATAAGATAGGTACCGTCGCTGGAGGCAAATATTTTCCTTTGCTTTGGAGCAGCAGCTGCTTTGTGTAAACGACGAAAGTGCCACGTTACTACGGGGAACGACATACCGCAGCTGCCTGACCGAAGCGACCACATGCAACCTTACTTAAAGATCAAGGGCCTGGGAAAATCACGAAACTACGACACTTCGACTCGCATCGGCTGGGCAAAGTTCAGGTCACTGACGGAAGAGAGGTCTGAAAAAAATGAAGCGCCTCCTCTTGACACCCTCAAGCATATGATTAGGGGTGCTGCTCAAGATGAGGCTTATCATATTGAGCATACTTCAACATATCGTCAACATGAAGCGGAATTGGAACGGCTCAGAGCAATCCGTCGTCGTGCAGAACATAGATATAGACGCTCTAAGTCCACTCATGACTTCAGGGAGGCAAGGCACCTACAGAAAAAAATTCAGTGGCGAATCAACTCACTTCAGTCTTTTCAGTGGGAATCTCTATGCGAATCATTGGATCCACAGAAGCCTTTGACCCAGACATGGAGGATTGTTCGTGGCCTACGAACATCGCCGCATCAACATCGCCCCTTCAAGTGTCTGTCTCTCCCCCAAGGCCGCACCGAAATTGAAGTACGAGAAGATTTTTGCGTGAAAGTTGCCGGTCAGGCGTCCGCGTGTGCCACGCGTCACCTAGAAAACTCACCAGACTTCAGAGATACAAGAATAGACACCTTTTTCTATCTAAAGGAACTTCAAGCGGCCTTGACGGCATGTAAACGATCTTCATGGCCTAGTCTGGATGGGATCACGTACAGAGCTCTTTGCAACCTCGGTGAAACAGCTCGACGGGCCCTTCTATCCGTGTACAACAACTCGTTCAGCAGAGAATTTGTCTTTCCTT